CAAAAAAACCGGCAAGAGGCTGGGGGGGGAACAAACCCATCACCCCACCAGCCATCTCCACAGGTGCGGGCCCCCCTGAAAATTAATTCCTTTTGAGTTGAAATGATAGTTACATTTCTGTGCCACTGCTTATTTTATTATCTTTTTTAGTAGTTTTACATTCATGCAGCAGTTTTAAATGTGCAAATACAGCAGTGGCCTATGTAAATACTTTTTCATTGTCTTAAACTACAGAGGACAGCAGCTATATATTCGTGTTTAATTTTTTCTTGACATTGCAATGACTGAATAGTAAGAAATTATTAGTCATCACTTTTGCATGATCTTTTACTTACAGTGATTTTCTTATTCTATTAAAGTGTTGCTAATTCTTTTCCATGCCCACTTTAAACTGTTTTACTTCATGGACAGTCCCCACAGATGCAATATATTGATGCACAGAATAGTTTGGAGATGAGTCAAGAAGACATGGTTAAGAGATGCTGAATACTGGCAATTTTTAAGTGGAAGAAAAATTTGGGTCTTGTTGCTTTCTACAAATATGAATTTTATAAATCACAGATGCTATATGAAACATACATAGAGATATCAATTTAGCAACTACTGAAATTGCATTAATACTTACTCATCATGCACAATCATAGGGCCATCTCTGTTGGAAGTTTCTTCTTTTATGATGCTTATAAGTTCAAATGTTTTACTAATAGGGCTATCTGGATTTGGCCATTTTGGACACTGAAAGTGCCTCACTTCAAGAACGTAATCATCCTCAAAGATTAAAAAAAAATCAGCACATTTAATTGATTCACATTTAACAGGTGCCCTTATTTCTGTCTTGTGAATAATATAATTGGAAAAACATAGTTGGCTTGCAATTTACACATAGTTTTTTGAAAAAGTACTTGCCCCCTTTAAGATTTTCTGAATGGTGACATATCTCTGCCACTAAATGTGTCAAAATTACTGATATTGATGTTCCCTAGTTTAATCAATCAAATTAGGGTCACGTGTGAATACCCCTTTAAACAAACAGGACTGATTTGGGCCAACTCCGTCCAATATAAATTTCAGCTCATCCAAGTGAAGGTCTCATCACACAGAATCTAGAGGCAAATCATATGCCTCTCAAATTAAATTTCTGAAGGCCTGGGTAAAAAAAAGTCATTGCTGCCTTTCAGTCTGGAAAAGGTTATGAAACTATTTCTAAAACTCTGGGGTTCTGCTGATCCACAGTCAGAGACATAATCTTAAAATGGAGAAGTTCTGAGAAAACAGTAAATCTTCCTAAGGGTGGCCATCCTGTTAAAATGAATAAAAAAGTGCAATATAAAGTTGTCCAGAAAGTTACAAAGAAACTGAGAACAACATCAAGGGAAATGCAACCCTTTTTCACTTTGCCTGAAGTCAGCGTTCATGATTTACCATCAGAACAGCATTGGGTAAAAATGGGATTCCAAGGAAGTAAGTAAAGTAAAACCTATCGCTCACTAAGATGATTGCTTATCCCAATTACTAAAAAGTATATCTATGGAGGAATGTTCTATGGAGACATGAGTCAAACATGACCACATTTGGTCTACCCTGGTGGAAGCCAAATGCTGCATTTAACAGCAAGACTCTCATACCATCTATCAAGCATGGAAGTAGTACTGTCATGGTTTGGGGTTGTTTTGCTGTCTCAGGAACTGGAAAATTTGTCATCATTTAAGGAACCATAAATTCTGCTTTGCGTCAGAGAATTCTACATGAGAAAATCAGGACATGAACAATTAACTTAAGAAGCTCAAGCACAAATGGGTTAAGAAGCAAGAGAAATGATCCCAAACATGCAAACAGGTTTACAAGAGAACAGATGAAAAAAAAAATCAGCAATGGCTTGGAATAGTCAGGTCAAGTCAAAACCTAATCCCTATACAAGTATTTTGACAGATCC